TATAAGTCATGCTGCTATAAAGACACATGTTTATTGCGGTACTATTCACAATAGCAAAGACTTGGAATCAACCCAAATGTCCATCAGTGACAGACTGGATTAAGAAAATGTGGCACATATACACCATGGAATACTATGCAGCCATAAAAAAAGATGAGCTCATGTCCTTTGTAGGGACATGGATGCAGCTGGAAACCATCATTCTCAACAAACTATTGCAAGAACAGAAAACCAAATACCGCATGTTCTCACTCATTGGTGGGAATTGAACAATGAGATCACTTTGACACAGGAAGGGGAACATTACACACCGGGTCCTATTGTGGGGAGGGGGTAGTGGGGAGAAATAGCATTAGGAGATATACCTAATGTAAATGACGAGTTAATGGGTGGAGTACACCAACATGACACATGTATACATATGTAACAAACCTGCACATTGTGCACATGTGCCCTAGAACTTAAAAGTATTTAAAAAAAAAAATGGACACTGCTTAAAGTAGTAACTGAAGATGTAAATACATACTAATTAAAATTATAATAGTGACCACTAGCAGACAGACATAAAACATGTAATTACAACTGTAATGTGGATCACAAAGAGGGTGTTGTGGGATATAGAGTGAGGGATCAAAACTCAAGTTGTTAGGTACCCCGTGCCATTTGCAAACACAGTACCTGGGATTAGGTTGAACCATTTGAAACTGTGTTTGGCAGTTTCTGGCTCAGAAAAAAGTAACTTCAGATGCTTCAACCCATTCTTTTTTTTGTTTTTTGAAACGGAGTGTTGCTCTTGTTGCCCAGGCTGGAGTGCAATGGCGTGATCTCGGCTCACCGCAACCTCCGCCCCTCAGGTTCAAGCTATCCTGCTGGGATTACAGAAATGCACCACCATGCCCAGCTAATTCTGTACTTTTAGTAGAGATGGGGTTTCTCCATGTCGGTCAGGCTGATCTCGAACTCCTGATCCGCCAGCCTCATGCTAGGCCTGGGATTATAAGCGTGAGCCACGGCGCCCAACGGGCTTCAACTCAATTCTTTTTGATGCAGCGCTTAATAAACTATCTTCTGTTGTAGTTACATTTCACAAGAAGAGAGCCTTTTTCTTCCTCACTACCATACATCCAGTGCCAGACACACTTCTTAGAAAACATTACTCAACAAATATTTGCTGAATCAAAAAAAAAGAGGACTCAGGACTCGGAAAGGCAAAATGGGTGAAAGTGGTCTTAAAATTTAAAAAGCCCTACAAAAAAATTCAAATGTCTGCTAATTTAGCAAACAGACCAGCAATCTGGCTTCCAGCAATATTAACATGTGCTATTAAAAGTCTGGTAGTCCCATAGTGTTTATAATTGGATTTAGCCTGTACATTGTGCGTAATCTACAGTCGAAAAATTTTCATCCATGTTTAACAAAATCTTCATCACATCATTAGTATTTAGTCATTAAATGCTAAAGAAGATAGGCTTAAAAATTTAGTTGTTTTCTGCTAACCCATAACCCAGATTGTTACTTACAGGTCTACTCTCTTTCCTGTAAATATACAAAGCATTCTTCAGAGAAAATCTCCCTTCTATAAATTCTTAAGTGGATCCTCTTGAAATAATATGTTGTTAGTGCTAGAAAATGGCTGGAAGGCAAGGTTTGTTTTTTGTTGTTGTTGTTTTTGAGACAGTCTCGCTCTGTCACCCAGGCTGGAGTGCAATGGTGCAATCTCGGCTCACTGCAACCTCCATGTCCCGGGGTCAAGTGATTCTCCTGCCTCCGCCTCCTGAGAAGCTGGAATTACAGGCAGGCACCACCAAGCCTGGCTAATTTTTGTATTTTCAGTAGAGACGGGGTTTCATCATGTTGGTCAGGCTGGTCTCGAACTCTTGACCTCGTACTCCACCCACCTCGGCTTCCCAAATTGCTGGGATTACAGGCGTGAGCCACCATGCCCGGCCAAGGCAAGTGAGTTTTAAAGAATCTTTGAAGTGTGTATTAAATGGTGTACATCAGAATTGACTGTTGTATTTGTCCTGTAAATATGAATATTTTATTGCTCCATTGTTTGTAATAGTAAACGGTGAAAAAGTAAATTTACATTATAGGGGGCTAAATCTTGGTGTACAATAAAATCTGACCATTAGAAATAAAAATGTTTGGTAATACATACTGTGCTTTATACAACCAGGCACCATTCTCTAAGGGCTTCAGATATACTAACTTTGTAATCCTCATAGCCCATCAATGACATAAGTAACTATCATTATCCCCATTTTACAGACAAGAAAACTAGGACAGCAACTCCTTAGGCTAAGCAGCTAGTCTGGATTCATCCCAGGTAGTCAGGCAGAATTCATGCTCTATTAAACCATACAGTATATTCTGCATCTACAGTATAGGGAAATACTTATACTGTAGTATAATACTTATACTTAGTGAAATACTTATACTTAGGGAAATACTTATACATAGTGGAAAGGACAATGTTCCCTGATAATTTCTGTGAAAAAGTGAGTTTCTGAATTCAATGATTACGATCTCATCTGTATTTTTCTGTTTAAAGTATGTAATGAAAATGTTTAGAAGGACTTATGTCAAGTTGTTAACAGTAGATACCACTAAGGACTTGGTTGGGAGTTTGAAAATGAAAATTTATTATTTATACCTTGTATTTAAAATTCTTTAACCAGCATGTGCTCTACAGTAAATATACCACATGCCAGTGACAACCGCCTCCCACATTATCTATGACACAAAACCAAACAAGCATATGAAAAGAAACACACTTACCTTGTGCTACCATATTGGTCAATGGGTAGGACAAGGCATGAAAGATTCTAATGCACACTCCAAGTTAACCAACATCATTTAAGAAGTAGAATGAACTTACCGCTAACCGACTCTTGATTTATCAGACTTCATTTACTTCAACAACAAATCTGTCCAACTTCAGTTTATTCCCAACACACTAAAGTATTTCAACAAGTTTTATGTCATATTAAACTTAACTGAATTACCTGATGACTCTAGGCCATCCCAAATGGCAGCTCTTCATTGTGCTAGGAGTTTTAGCTATTCCCCCCTCTCTACGGGGAAGCACTGTTCCTCGTGGACCCAAGTTGGAAAATCAGATAATTGACCCGGTCCAGCAAGTGTATGTAAATTAAACCAATAAAAGCTTACGGAAAAGGTCTTGTTTCAGTAATGTGTAGATTTTTCAAAATCCCCTATATTGAATGTGAGAGATCCTGGAAGCTGATCCTGTTTTTAAAAGTCTGATTTCTGACTGTGACGTTCAATGTGACTAGATTTTTTAATGCAACAGTCTATTTGAGGTGCTCCGGCAGTGCTTGTTTTCTCCAAAGTAGCCCGGCCCCGTGGCCATCCAACCTATGCTTTAGAGCTTTCTGGCAGCATAGCATCTCTTAAGGCAGCTCGTTCTGACATTAGATTAGTATGTTAGAAAGTTTTTTAAAAAAAAAAATAGGATTGTGATACCTTTTTTGGTATAGATTCCACCCCACTGGTCTTAGTTCCTAAAATATAAATTGTCTGCCCAATGGGTCATACAAATCCAACAACCAAGAAACATTAGTAATTGTCTTCTGTACTTTACTAAACACTTTGTGTTTAATATATTTTTAAATTGTAAAGAAATTACAAGGAACTCCTAAAAAAATTTAATACAAAAATATTACAAGTTAGGACAATTAATCATTGAGATGACATTTAAGAAGCATGCAGAAAAAGTAGCATAGGGTTAACATTTCACTGATGACAAAGCACTTTAGGTACAGTAGAGAAAAGCACCATAAAACTACCATCTCTAGTGTCTTTTCCTCCACTGTGTTTTTTCAAATGAATATATTGGTAAAACAGTAAACTTTGATCTGATCTGCTATGGATTATACTAGGTAATAAATCTAATTCATTGTAAAGTATAACTGAAATTAAAAATAATCCCTTCTATTATTGTTCGAATTAATTTCAGCTTTCCCTCAAGTTTATAAGGATTCTAATCCTTAGGAATCCAACCCTTTTTGGAAAAGTATACAATGTGGGATATTATTAACAATCTATGCCATGCAATAAAAGATAACCCCTTGAAAATGAAAGCATGTCAGTTCTAACAATTGCAGTGGCTTATTTCTAATAAAACATAAAACTATGCTTGCATTTATTTCTGTTTAAGGAAATAAACAGGAAAAACAGAAGACCTGGAGAGTGTAAGTTCTTAAAAAACGAAAGAGAAAATATGCTCAATGATTCTTTTAAAAAAAGTCTCTAACTCTAAAGGAGTTGGTATTAATTAAAACTAGAAGGTGTCTAGTTGTTTTTCTTATAAAGTTTGTAATAACAACTAGCTAAGAGAGAAAATGATTCAACTATAATTGGCTTGTTGTGAAGCAAAAAAAGGTCACTGAGGAAGCTGAGCCTCCTGTCCTAATCTTCAACACCTCTACACATTGTTTTGTGCTCAACCGTGTGGCTAAGCAAACAAATGTATCTAAGGTCTCTTTTAGTTTATGTGAAATAACGTCTTTTAAATACAATATTGATTTTTCAAAAGAATTAAAAATTACAATCCCCTAGCTGATTAGATGCTCTATTATACTTTAATAAAAATAGTAAATAACCCCTTCATTTAAAAAAATCTTATCTCCTGCAAGAAGTAATAAAAATAGTAAAATTTGTAATTTTATTATGGGCTTACTTTAAAGTATATATCTTGGGAAACAATATGTTTATGAAAAACAGTGGTTTGGGTTCTGATGGCAATTATAATCAGTAATACCAGCATGGGAGAGAATGAACATGTTATAGGTTATGAAGGCTAACTCGGAGCAAAAAGGTTTATTCTACAATAGAACACTGGAGAAGTAAAAGCAATTAAAATGTAAACAAGAAACTGTAAACAAGAATACCATCCCTCTCTCTTTACTTGACTAGTAAATAGGCTATACAAACTACATAGATATCAAAGGTTTTATATATGTACACAGCCAACATAATATCAAAATATATTTTATTCTGGACCTCTTTCAGATCTGATTCAAATTACAGTTGTCAAAGCAATACAATGCAAAGGGGAACTGCAACAACAACAACAACAAAAATGTGCCTAGAAAGGATAAAAGGGTCACTGGGGACAAATCATTGTGATGTGGAACCAAAATACATCGTAAGTGTAATTAACATGGTCCAGGACAGCATAGAACATCTATATCAGTCTTCCTTATACAATAATCATGAAAACTGAACAATGAAGTTCTTTAACATGTACAAAAAACTGTCATGGGCTGGTTTACACTTTTACAACAGTTTTAAAGTTAACTGGATAACTAAAGAAATGATGCAGACATTTTAATCCAGTGCTATAGGTAGGCTCACAGAATTAGACCCAAAGGATTTGTAAAAATAAAAATGGAAACAGTATAGCTACAATGTCAAAGTCAGGAAAGAAGAAAATTTACTTCTGTATTCAAGGATTACAGAGCTACAAAATGCAGTCTGCGTTTTTGTTTGTAATGAGATGGATAAGTACATCAGACTAGATACAACATGCAGAATGTTTTCCTGAACTTATCCAGAAATTCCAAAGAAAACATCATGAAACAACTTACTTAAAAACAAAAACATATGCCCTAGTTAATTCACCCTGCTTCAACACTGTCAACGTAAAGGCAGAAATAAAGAAAGCTATCAATACCTCAGAACTACTGATATAAGACATCAAATTTCTAAATCAGTGTATTAAAAAAGTGAACACTTCCTCTTTTTTCTCTCTTCTACATTTAACTAGAATCATGTTTCAAAAAAACTGATATTAAATGTGACACTTCAGAGCTACTACTGGAAGGAGTAATTCGTAACTTCCCTACCCTCCTTCCATCCCTGCTGATTCAGGAGAGGGGGGAAAAAAACAAAGAAAATAAAACGAAAAACCAACCAGGGTCTCTTGTAGATTTGCTGCTATTCCACAAAATGTTGGCATTTGCTGCCATGCCACAATGTTGGTCCACTGAAATAGGATTTCTGCGGAAACTGTCAACAGTAATTCACCATATGCAAGTACCATCCTTAGCATGCGACAATAATCACAGGTTCTGTAGAAATGTACAATGTGCTTAAGATAATGAAAATTGTAGCACTGCATTTGAGATTTGTTTCTCTACTTATCTAGTAAAACTTGTCATTTTTGCTCACTTAAGTATGATCATTTGTGATTCCTTTAAATAGCAAAAATGCACAAGTCCTCTTTAGGCCTCTACTCAATAATAGTTTACATCACTCTTAACAAAATCATTCTACATAAACAGATAGCTCCTTAAAAATAGTACTCTCTCATTAAATCTAATTTGACAGAAAGGAGTTTAAGGGAAAAAGGAGTGCTTTGTAAGTGAAAAAGTACAAATCTTTGGCCTTTCTCTTGACATTTTCTTATGTCAAAAAGCAAAAAACCTTCATGTAATTCAATCTAGTGATAACTTTTTGCACCATAATTTGTTTTTTACACCACAAAAGGAGGCACTTTCAGTATCTGTAAAAGGTATTTAATCCTAAAACATACTTACCTAGAGAATAATTAAAACAGAATTCAATACACTCTAACATCTATTAGGAAATTAAGAGTTACCACTTCTAAAAGTCATTTGAAAGTCAATGATGTTACCTGGTCAATGGCAGGAAATAGGAATTGGAACAAATATAAGAACTTATGGGATTTCCTACACGGAGGCAAAAAAAAAAAAAAAAAAAAAGATATTCCTTTATGTTGTTTAAAAGTGGCAGCTGCTCTTTCTTTATTCCATTTTAATCAATGAGTATTCATTCAAGTTTTCTTTTCTATATTTCCTTGTAAGTTTCTTACAGTAGCTTATACAACAACAAATAGCATAGAAAAACTACTGGATTCAATTGATCATCAGGAATAAGTTCTCAGAAAAACACAGGCGGAAAAATAAGCAAGAATCCCAAATACAGAACTTTACAAGCTGTGAAACTTGGTCTCTTGCAATCATGTTACTGCTCAAATTAGAGACAATCTTATTTCTGTCTATTGGAGCAGCATCGTGGCACATCAGCAGGCAATGATGATGTTGAGAACAGCAGCAAAAATAAACAATCGTATGCTCATGAAGAACCCAAGCCTACAAAATGGATACCTTTCAGAAAAGTGTATACTTAAAAGACCCAAGACGTCAGGATAATAAAGCTCTGTATTTATAATCTTTTATATGTCCTATTGTGGCTACTATGCTTAAGTAAAATAGCTAAAGAAAAAAAAAAAAAAAAAAAAAAACCAGAAAAGATGACAATATAAAAATGTAGCTGTCTATTTTGGCAGCTATATTGCAGAATTTCTTGACTATCTTTTAATCAGCTGGGAAAAAGTCAATAACTGTATGCAAATGAATAAACTGTCCATATCAAAATACAAAAGTACTATCAATAATCACCTCTGACTTTCAGATTTAAATTCAGTGCAATTGACAAATGCATCGCTAAAGGAAAATGCAGCTTAAAAGATACTCAAAACATTTGTGTCTATTCCTGGGAGCACATTTTAAAATTATTGCACAGATTTTTTTTATTTTTATTTTTTTTAAACAGTAACAGAGGTCAACCACAGATGTGGACCTCCAGCAATAAAAGCAGGAATTCAAGTGCCAGATATTCAGCATATTAGGTTTCCTACGTAAGTCACATGGTAATATGTTCTAAATATCTCTAATGTGATCCAAAACCCTAAAAAGAGCTGGCACAAAACCATCGTGAATGACTGCCTCTCTGGATGTAAATTTTTAAAAATATTATTACAGTATCATAGTCCCCACTAACAACAACTGGGGTACATATAACAATGTATTGTGAAATTAAGTGTATTTATTCTCTTTACCAATAGCAAATGCTACCCTACCTTAGTAAAACGAAGACTTGCTTCAATCAATGCTGTTTTGTAAAAATAGCAAAGCAACAAATGCTGAAAATCAAAGCTGCATTACTTGGGTTAAATCAGTTTCTACCTAAACTTAGAACACAGGTTAAAATTTTAGTACTAAAAGGCCTCAAAATAATTAGTGACAGAAATAGTGTTATTAATTTGCTAAGCTCAACAATAAGCAATTCCTTAATTAAAATCTTTGAGATATAAATTTGATGACTATTCTCTTCAGAAATGACATACCTGGATTATGTTAATCATGACAAGCCTTATTAATCACACATATAAACATGGCCTCATGCAATCATTTGTATATGTTACTCTAACTTGCATGAGCACAAGGTTTAATTTAATATCTATATCTTTAAGAAAATACTTGATATTATAAACAGAGTAAAAGACATGATATAGTAGTGATTACTGAAAAAAAAATTAGCAGCTTAAATCGATCTATATTTGAAAAAACGTAGTCACAAGTACCACAAATGCAGAATCAGAGCAGCAGGAAGAAGGTTAGTGCAATTATATTTTCATAAAAAAAATTCTGAATCACTGCTATTTAAAAACACCTTGAAGCAAGTCTTTTGTTTGAGATTGTTTTTTAAACTAAGGTAGCAAACATTTTGCCATGTAATGGCAGTGTTATATGCCGTTATCTTGCTTTGTATAAAGAAAACAACATGAGAGATTTTTAATACTGGAGGTTGGTTACATTTACATATTTAAGCTTCTACACAGAATGATGGACACTTTGAGAAGCTAATCCTTATCCAGAAACATTTTAATCTCTTAAAAAACAAAGCAAAACAAACAAACAACAAAAAACCCAAAACTACTTTGCTCCTTTTCACAATAGTGCACACTTTTACCATAATTTAGTTATGGCTACAAAACATCAGAAGATTTTTTTTTTTTTTAATGTATCTTCTCTATGGTAATTAAAAAAAAAAATTGTGCCCTTCTAGTCTTTAATTGGCAGAAATATGTCCCAAAAAAGAAACTATTGCATTTAAGCCACATCACCAAAAAACAAAACAGAAAAAAAAAAAAGAAAAAAAAAAAAAAAAAAAAAGCAAAACAAAAAAACAAAACCAACAGAGCATAATACCCTTTTACTGATGTGTCTTACAGATTGACATGACCAAAGTCATAGGTTTTCATTTAATTTCCAATTCCCCCTTCCACAACATGCACCAACTGAATATATGCTCTGGGAGCCATAAAATGTACCAAACATCTACCTCTTCAAAAGAATGCATTAAAATATTTTAAAGAATTTTTTGTTGTTTAAAAGGTGAAAAAAATATAAACAAGAAACTGATTCACTCCCTTACTTCATGCATCCATAATCTAAACCAAAAACAAAATTTTAAAGCAAGAACAAACTACTGCTGCAAGTTTCTGTAAGTCCATTTTCTCTGTACATACAAACTGCTCACTACTGAAGGGAAAAAAGAATATAATCCATGGTGTCTGCTGATTCAAAGGGGAGAAACAAGGCTGTCATTTAGTATCCAAAAACTGGTACATGTATGTTCTGCTTTTATAATGTATATTTTTCTCTCTTCTGTTTTTCATATCCAAAACTTCTAAATGCTATTTTAGGGGCACAGCAGATTAGATTCCAGCACTTGGTGAACAGAATTCACAAGCTGTGACAAAACTCTGTCATCTTCAGGGTGCAATTTTGTGTATATACACTTATGTATATATTTCTTTTAGATTTGGCTGTAGTGGACTGGCCATGGTTCAAGTGGGACTATAGCAGTACATGGGTCAGGGACAGTCATTTTGGCTATGTACACATTCATAGTCGGTCCATGGCTTCCAACTAGTAGCGCTATTTCCGAAGGTCTAATACACAAACCTGTAAGAAATTAGAATAATCAACCAGTGTATTCAGAATTTTATTGTACATTTTATGTTTAACTTTTCTATAGTACAATTTGAAATGTTTCTTAGTTCCAAGTTTATAAAATTGGTAAAGCATGATAATCATGGAAATGAGCGGTTAACTGACAGAAATTAGATTTAAGCAGGTCAAGAGAACAACCATGAGCTCAAACTATGGGGGAAGAACCATGGCTAGGATTTTTAATACTCTGTTGATTAAAAAGGTAGGAGAAAATGCTCAAAACAACCATTTCCTATCTATTGGACCCTAATGAAAGATATCACGTATTATATTCAGCTACAGTGTCAGTAAATAGCTACCCCTTTCCCATCTTCTGTTACTTCTACAGCTTTGGAAGCCATATTTGCATTGTTGTAAAGACTTGGCCAACCTCATTCTGAAAATCTTCCAGTATCACACATTCCTCAACACAGGAACCACCTCTAGTTCTGCCTTCCCTGAGCTAAAAAAAAAAAACTCTTCTGTGAAGAGGAGAAGGTAGAAATACACATTAAAAATTTCAATCCTTCTCAGAATGTTACTCTGGTATACCTAATTTCATAAATGAAGGTTCACATTAAAAATAACTGTCCATTTCTAGATTATAAGGTACTCTTTTGGTAAGGACAGCCTAAATTTGGTTTACACTATTTAAATCCAACGCACATGAGAAGTTTACAGCCTCAGGAAAAAAAAAAATCAGTATCATATCTTAAAATTTATTTTGAGAAAAAAAAAAAAAAACAACTTTGGTATCACTAACAATAAGCTGCATTCTGATGTGAATACCCACCCACACCCTCTTTGGAAACACTTTACTATACTTACTGAACCATCTGATGCACTGGCTCCAACTTTGTCTCCTGCTGCATTCCAGCAAACTTCAAAAATTCCACCTGTTCCCCTATAGCTGTGAACTAGAGCACCTGTCTAAAAGAATGAAAAACAAAATCTTAAAAATCATAATACATATTATAATAAATCCAAATGCTGAAATAAAAATATTACATGGCCTTATTTCTAGCAATCAAAGGAGGGACTTAGCTTCAACTATACAAAATAAGTTCTGAAATTCTAGAACTGTAATACGATCCCTTTATAAAAAGATGATACCAGCCTGTTCTCAAAAGATTACTCACACACATATTCAGTTTCTCCAGTGTTGATAACCATTCTTGGCTAAGGTATCTGGTCTCTTTGACATAGCCAACAATAGCTAGAAGTAAACATTCAGTCTATCAAATAAGTTTTTGTTGTTGCTAAATGACGCATGAGTCTAGCTAACATGTAAAGAAACAAAATAAATTCAGAATTTCTTTGACAGAACTTCTTAAAGAGGAAGTATAACAAACTAATAAAGATAATTCCAGTGTAACTCTGTTATTCACTCTATATTTACTGACCAGTTCCTAAGCTAGGGGATTATAAAAAAAGCTAAAATAATGTATGTACGTTCCTTTTTTATTTTTTTGGACAGAGTCTTGTTCTGTTACGCAGGCTGGATGCAGTTGTGCAATCATAGCTCATCGCACCTTCTAACTCCTGGGCTAGAGTGATCTTCCCGCTTCCACCTCCTGAGTAGCTAGGATTACAGGTGCATGCCACCATGCCCAGCTGATTTTAAAAAAATTATTTGTAGAGACAAGGTCTGACCGTGTTGCCCAGGCTGGTCTTGAACTCTTGTCCTCAAGCAATTCACCCACCCAAGCCTCCCAAAATGTTGGGATTATAAGCATGCACCACAGTTCCCAGCCAGATATGTACACTATTCTTGAAAGATGTTATAAGTTTAAACAAAAAACACAGGCAGGAATACTAACAATGTCATCATTAATTAAGCTGAATCATAAATGTAACAAAGTTATTTTATTATTCAGCTGCCACTGAAGAATTAAAACTCAGTACAAAAACATATTCTTCTATGAAACCAGTCAACATAGCAGGACAAAGATCAGAGGTCCTGTTGTGAAAACTCAAAAATGTGCTTCAGGTGTTCTGCCCCGACAAATCAGAAAAGTGACCTCTGCAGCTTTATGGTAACCTGAAGTCAAGCTAGAGGTGGCAGATCTACGTAAAACAACATGGCAACAAATCATGCACCTTGCAAATATCTCCCATTCAGCCTATCCAAGATGACAACTAAGCTGGAAGAATGTTTGACCGAGTTTTCCTCTTCAAATTTAGCCTGGTAACGTGGCACAAATCACAGAATCACAGATGCACTGGTACTGACACATTGCTACCGATTATCAGGCTGGGAAGGCTCAACTGCTTTGTTTACTTAAAATTTCTCATAATTTATGAGATTAAGTTCAAGTATAACAGGCTTTAAATATCTACGTTAATGAGAAGAGAAAAAAGTAGAAACAACAAAATCTAAAGTTTGCTGAGGTATAAAAAAAAATAAAATCTATAGTCAACCTACAGACATTCAATCTACAGTCAACTTGAGATGAAAAAAACAAACAACTTTCTTTTAAAAGCACTTACCAATCTCTAAGCTTGAACTGGGCTATAATGAACCAAAACATTATGGTCAACAAGGCAGAGCTAAGACATTTAAAAAGGCCAATGGCTTGGATCGTCGGCATCTACCTCAAATTTGTATGTATACTGGCACAAGACTTCTAAAATTTACTCATCAAATGCTTAGGCAATTCATCATGCAAGAAAGGGGAAAACAAAAAACCTAGATGTATATATAACAATAGGATAATAACTTTCTCCTGCACTGAAAATCCACTATTTTACTATTTTCAAACTTTGAAAAAGTAAGACTTTTGGTACACAATAGTGAAAACAAAATAGTATCAACAGTTGGTCAAATGCCCTTAAATGTCTTGTTGTATGTTCCATCAGCACTCTACAGTTCTATGCCCAAATTTCATTAAAATTGATTTTGTCACAACGGACTAAATGAGTTCACTGAAAATGTTCTAAATGTGAGCAACACCTATTATATAAAAGGAATATATTTTTTAAAAGAGGTCATTCACAGTAACATAAAAACCATAAGGTACCTCAAAACACATTAGGAAAAAAAGATCCTCAGAGAAATTATAAAACTTCACTGAAGGAATAAAAGACAAATAAACGGAGGTATAACATATTTATGGGTGATAAAACTCAGTAACAATTTTCCCTAATTTCACCTATAAATTCAAGGCACTTATAAACAAAACCCAAAATTGTATGCTGTTTTGGAAATACGGATGACTAAAGTGGCAAGAACAGAAAAAATTTTGAAGAACAATAACAAGAGGGATTTATAAAGTGAGAATTGTTAAAACTGTGCTATTGATTCAGATAAGGCAAATATACAAATGGAATAACAAAGAAGGTATAAACAAATCGCATATACATGAACTGGGTGTATGAAATAAGTGGCATTATGAAAACAGAAAGGGGACAATGAATGGTTCTAAGACAACTGACTGCCCAAATGGAAATATCTGTACCTCACACGATATATAAAAATCAGTTCCAAAGGGGCTAAAAACATTAATGTAAAGGAATAAAACTTAGATACTTCATGAAAAAATATCAGGCCTCAGTGATATCTCTAAGGAAAAATGAATTAAGCTATTAAAAAAAAAAAAAAAAAGCCATTAAAAAAGAAAGATCCAGCCAGGCACAAGGCATATGCCTGCAGACCCAGTAGACACAGGATGGTGAGGTGAAAGATCTCTTGAGCTCAGGAGTCCAGCCTGGGTAACACAGCAAGACCCCCATCTCTAAAAATAATTAATTTTAAAAAGATAAAGATAAATAGCATCTAAACATTAACATTAAAAACTTCCACATGATCTGCGCATGGTGCCTCATGCCTGTAATCCCAGGATTACTTTGGAAGGTCAAGGCAGGTGGCTTCCTTGAGCCTAGGGGGTTGAGGCCAGACTGGGCAACATGGCGAAATCCGGTCTCTACAAAAAAAATACAAAAATTAGCTGGGTGTGGTGGCATGCACCTGTGATCCCAGCTACTTGAAAGGCTGGTGTGGGAGGATTACCTGAGCCCATGAAGGTCAAGGCTGCAGCGAGCCTTGATCTGCCACTGCATTCCAGCCTAGGTGACAGAGTGAGACCCTATCTCAAGAGAAAACAAAACAACAACCAAAAAACCCCACAAACCATGTACATGATAACACTCCACATGAAGAAAATGAAAGAAGGTGGTACTGGGAGATCACTGAAATCCATATGACCAGGAAGGATTAGTACCCAGAATGCATAATAAACACTAATCAGTATAGAATATAAAAAAATTGAAAAACGGTGGTGGTGGTGAATTAAAATGCTGAAGTCCAGCTGTATAACTATTTGAAAAGATATTTAAACTCATTGATAATCAAGAAAATGCAATTAAAAAAAAAATGCTTCATATCCATGTAATTGGAAAAATGTTTACCAGTCTGATAACCTAAGGATAAAGGAAAATGGGAAATCCTAAATATTGTAATTAGAAGTGTAAATGGGTGTATGCACATTGAAGAGCAGCTTGGCACAAGCACATAAATATACCCTATGGGCCATGATTTCCACTTACAGGATATGCCATGCACCGGTGTGTGTATGTGTATACATACATATATAAAAGTATTCTCATAAAAGGAACTTTCATTCATGTGCACAAGGAAACGTGTAAAGATGTTTCAGCAATGCTGTATATTTTTAAATCCCCCAATAGGAAATTAAATTTGAAAATTAATATATTCATATTATGGACAGATTAATATATTAATTATATATTAGATAATATATTCATAACATGAATATATTAATGTATTGTATATAATATATAATGAATACATTAATATATTCATATAACACTCTGGAATTGTCTAAATAAATCATCATTCTAGAAATACAAGTATTAATGTGATAGTTCAAAAAAGTGGTAAAAAACACTAGCTTGAAAAGATATACAATAGAAAATTCACAACAGCATGATTAATTACAATTTTACCACAGAAAATAGTAGTATATATCATTTATCATGCGAATGACAGGCACTCTCTTCAGGATTGCTATAGCCTCTAGGAAGGAAGAGGAAAATGGAGATGAACACTTTATCTGTATCTACAACATTTTATCAGGTAAAAATAGGAAGGAAGAGATTTACAACAGTGTGGCAACATGTTCTTATCAATTAAATCTGAGCAGTAGGCATATGAGTGTTATATTATTTTCTGTTTGAAATGTATAATTATTAAAAGTGAGAATCAACAAATACTAACTTGAAAATATGTCGAAATTATATTATTTAGATTTAGATTCACTTTCACCAGCTCTGTAACTGTTGTTCAGTTTAAAAAGTTTAGCTGGGTGAGGCCGGGTGCAGTGGCTCATGCCTGTAATCCCAGCACACTGGGAGGACGAGGCGGGTGGATCACCTGAGGTCAGGAGTTCAGGACCAGTCTGGCCAACATGGTGAAACCCCATCTCTACTAAAAATACCAAAACTAGCTGGGTGTGGTGGCAGATGCCTATAATCCCAGCTACTCATGGGGCTGAGGCAGGAGAATCGCTGGAACCCAGGAGGCGGAGGTTGCAGTGAGCCGAGATCGCGCCATCACACTCCAGCCTGGGGGACAAGAGCGAGACTTCATATTTAAAAAAAAAAAAAAAAAAAGGTTAGTTGGGTGCATGATTAGTGTCTTCCCACAAACACAAAGTTAAACTAAAATTTAGGAAAGAGTTTTTAAAGCATATATATCATAGTTACAGAATATATCCAACACAGGCATATATTAATGAAGACAGAAAATATGGGAGTAGAGGTAAGGAAGTAATAATAAAAATTAAAGCAAAACATTTTTATTTAATTATTTTTAATATATTTTTTTAGACAGGGTCTCACTCTGTTGCCCAGGCTGGAGTGTAGTGGTGCGATCTTGGTCCACTGCAACCCCCACCTCTGGGTTCAAGCGATTCTCCTGCCTCAACCTCCCGAGTACCTGAGACTACTGTGTCATTACGCCTGGCTAATTTTTGTAGTTTTAGGAGAGATGGGGTTTCACCATGTTGACCAGCCTGACCTCAAGAGAACTGCCCACCTTGGCCTCCCAAAGTGCTGGGATTACAGGTGTGAGCCAACATATGCAGCCTAAAATTTTATTAGAAGCCCCAGCATGGTGGCTCATGCCTGTAATCCCAGCACTTTGGGAAGCTGAGGTGGGAGGATCCCTTGGGCCCAGGAGTTCAAGGCCAGCCCCGGCAACATAGAAAGATCCTGTCTCTATTTAAAGAAAAACAAAAATAAATATTTAAAAATTGTATTAAAATGTAATGTAAGATTCAGGCTTAATAATCATTTGTTCAACTAGCAAAAATCTGCAACCACATTACAAAGGGTTTAGTTTTTAGTCCATAAAGTCCTGCTAGAAATCAAAGACAATGAATAACCCAGTTGAAAAGAATGGAAAAAAACATGGTCAGTCACAGAAAAATTAACAAGTATGCTTAAATACATAAAAAAAAATTCCTAATGTCATTCATAAGAAAATGCAAAATTAAAACTATGCTGAAATACCATTTATCACCAAAGGATAGAACTGTGAGGTGAAACATTATTTTATATTGTCAGTGGTAGTGTAAAATGAAAAAAGCACAATGCTTTTATTCATAAAAAGAAGTTAGGAAAAAATAAAAACTAAGAAAAATTGTTACCAGCAGGAGAGGAAGACAGAAATGGGAACAAAGTTTCTCAGTGTATACCTTTATATAAGGTTTGAGGTTTATTCTGAACTGTATGAATGTATAAAATAATTTTAAAATCTTCAAAATAAGTTATGAAAATTAATTAGTGAGATGAACTATGGTGGCGGACACCTACACAAAGAGAAATAGACCGTAATAACTTATTATGTGTGCACTACATCTAACAAAGATCTGATAACTGAAAGGAGGGGTGAGTCCAGTGACTGCTATTAAAAAAGTACAGTACATAGAGCATAAAAACTAAAACACTGAGAAGATTTAAAAAATTGAAAGCAACAGGCTGTTTTCTCCACTTTTAAGAATCTCTGAAACACTATACATACTACCTGAAAAGGTAACGTAGCTGTAAGTTTCTTTCTTATAAATTATTGCATTCAGCCACAAAATCTGGTCCTTTGATGTTTACTGCTCATATATAGCTCCTTCAGAGACAACTATTTTGAAAAATAAAATCTGTCATTTATGTAAATAAATACATCCTAAACATTCACATTTGATATCTACAAAACTGTTGGAAAAAAAACAAAAGAATACAATAATAAATAATAAAACAAACGATCTAAATCCATTTCAAAATTCCGGTCTCCATAAAGACATAACTTCAATTGGTTTCTATCTTACTCTAAAACCAAGAATTCAATTAATGCCACAAGAGGAATGACAAGCAAATGGTGGGGGAAAGTGTATAGGCAAACGTTTCTACCTAAATTTAAGAGTACCTGACCATTTAAATAATGGAGACATACCTGTGTGTTCCAGATGTGTACACATTTGTCAAAAGAACCACTTGCCAGATACCTGCCATCAGGACTGAAAGCTACACTGTACACAGGCTCTTGGTGTTTTGTCAAGGTATGGATGCAGATCCCTCGGTCTACATCCCACAACCTAACAGTAGAATCAAAGGATGCACTGAAAAGGGAGGGAAAGAAAGTTAATTTATAAGTAAGGAAATACTCCTCCAGCCTTGCCTCCACCCCAACCTCCATATTCAGCCACATCTAAAATAGCCAAAATTCTTTATGAGAAGCAGACCGACTGGACTGTTGGGAAGAATATTCTGTGAGCTTCAAATCAGTGACAAGAAAATAATAAATAAATGAAATTCAGAAAGAAGAGCAAGTGTTCTAGAAATTAAAAGCTAAACAAGGAAAAAAAAAAACAAAAAAACAAAAACAAAAAAAACCCTTAAAGGAATCTCCCAAGTTCAGGAGCAGAAAACATAAATGTGTTCATTTACTGTATTCCTTTTCTCTCTAAATAATCCCTGCTTCGCATGGTTTTGAACACTGAAGTGACCACAGTTTTCCGTTTGTCTTTTTTCTAAAGATACTAAAGACACTTTATTTTGCTATGCCTCAATTGCTTGGATTTTCATCAATATTTGGTATCAGTCAATATTTGATTATTTCAATATAAAATATCATTATAACTTGAAATAAAAAAACCCAGTGTTTAAAGATTCCCCTTAAGGAACCAACGTAGTGCCCATCAGCTAACAAGTGGATGAAGAAAATGTGGTATACCTACACAATAGAATACTACTTAGCCATAAAAAGGAATGAAATATTGTCTTTTGCAGCAACTTGGATAGAGCTAGAGGCCATCATTCTAAGTGAAATAACTCGGGAATGGAAAATCAAATATCATGTTCTGACTTGTAAGTGGGAGCTAAGCTATGAGGATACAAAGGTATAAGAATGATATAATGAATTTTGTGGACTGGAGGTAGGGGTAGGGAGATTGAGAGAGGGGTGAGGGATAAAAGACTACACACTGGGTACACTACACTCCTTGCAAAACCAGTGCACTAAAATCTCAGAAATCACCACTAAAGAATTTATTCTTGTAGCCCAAAACCACCTGTACACCAAAAACTACTGCAATTAGGAAAAAAAAAAGTTTCCACTTGATGAAACCTTCCCTAAATTTCTGTCATATTTATTAGAAGTTGTATTTGTAGAAAACTCATAAAAGGAGGAATAAAACAGAAGTATCACCTTGCTAACATAAGGTTGGCATTTGGATTATTAGTTCCTGGTCCTGTTGGACTCCATTTGATAGTATAAATTTCTTTATTATGTGCTTGCAAATCATGGACACAATTGTCTTGTTTCATACTCCATATCTAAACAAAAAAAGAAAAATGTATATAATTATTTTTCCATACAATTAGTACTTTAAAATATTATCTTGACACTTAAAATATTATATGGACAGTCTAAAATATGAGTGATATAACCAGAACGATGATAGAAAAGAGTATTTACAAAGAAACTGAAATGCAATAGAATATATTTAATATTTGCATCTCTGTTAAAAAAAAAAAGTTAGCTTTAAGCCCTTTAAAAATATTCACTATTATGAAGTTTGAAGACTGAATTAACTATAGTAGTTCTGAGATTACTTTGGTTAAGGTAAAAATCCTAAAATGCTGAAGGTCCAGTTTTTACACTGTCCTTTAAGTAAAAGATCTACATCATAAACTGCTCTTAGAATTCTAGAATCAGGAAAATTTCACAATGGAGAACTGAAAATAAATAACCAACTTACAAATAATGATGACTCACAGAGAACCATAAAAAGTAACATAGGAAATAAAGTTCAAATGAAAAGACGAAAAGTAGGGAAAAAAAGTAGACAAAAGTAGTCAAAGTAGAGAATAAGCCTTTCCTGAGATGAAAATATGCCTATGTATATAGATTTCAAGTGTCTATTATTTTTGAGCAAAAATTAATAGAAATCAACACGAAGAGTATTTCTGAAAAAAAAAAAATCACTCAATAAAGACATGGTAGGTCCTACAGTATCTCCTTAACACAAACACATACAACACCCCAAACCCAAGAGCCAACCAAGAAAACAATTAGCTCAACTTTACATTTCCGTGACATGACCATTACAAGATAATGAAGCATCCCAGTGTTTTGGTGTATTTACGACCCCAAGTAAAATAAATCTGAACGACATGTTTTCAGAACTGATTTCATTCGATCTAATTGATGGAATTTGATACTATAGCCACTCTCAACTCTTACCTCCCTTGAAATAATTTTCTCTACGTACTTTCTTTTTCCACTTGTCATTCCTTCTCAGTTTCCTTTGGAAAGCTCATTCCTCTTGATTTGGTGATTTAAGTTTCTGAAGACTTACTCTTTTAGCTCCCCTCTTTTCTCACTCTCTGCACTACCCACACAGTTTTGTCCCTGCCCCAATTTTTTTTTTTTTTTTTTTTGAGATCAAGTCTCACTCTGTCGCCCAGAACTATCTTGGCTCGCTGCAACCTCCGTCCCCCAGGTTCACGTGATTCTTCTGCCTCAGTCTCCCAAGTAGTTGGGATTACAGGCGCCTGCCACCATGCTTGGCTAAATTTGGTATTTTCGCAGAGATGGCGTTTCACCATGTTGACCAACCTGGTCTTGAGCTCCTGACCTCAGGTGAACCACCCACCTCGGCCTCCCAAAGTGCTTTAATTACAGGTATGAGCTGTGGCAACGTGCCTCTCATAGGGGTACCAGCTGCTGGGGTCCCCGCAGACCCTGACCCAGCAATGGATAAATAAAGTACACTAACACACAGATATTCTGTTTTGCCAGTCCAGCTGAGGGTGTCTGAGCCACTTATAGACTCCCTGGAGAGTTCTGTGAACAGTTGCAACCATGGCCCTGATCAGCTGGTGAGACTCGCATTTATTCAGTAAGATTAATTCATACAGGCTTGAGTCAACACCATTGGAGGGTAACTGACATTGGGGACTTCCCAAGTAAAACGCACTTAAGCACCCATTGTACATCAAAGCTTAGTCTTAATATTATATAAGTAAACAAGCTAGCTAGGTAAACTACTCTGCCTTTCTTTATTACTACTTTAATTTGTTTAACTCAAGGTAAAGGAACCAGGCTGCATTCAACCAGATCGATTACTGAAGTTACTTCTCAGCCTTCCAAGAAGATTTGTGTCTATTTCTATAACTGTCTCTAATATTTTTCCCACCAGACTGATTGAACCCCAACAGTGAGCCACCAGGCCCGGCCACGCCCAAGGATTTTAACGACCACCTATCTGCTAAGAATTCCCAGTTTTTAATCTTGAGCTTACAGTTCTCCAAGCATCAGTCCCACCTATCTCCTCCACTCACATGACTCATCGTCACCTCATTCCATCTGGCATTCCCTCTCCTCAGAAAACAGCCCATTACACATTATCCATCCACCCTAGTTTTTGCTTTAAAATCCTTCATGACCTTTAAACATTCTTAGGATGAAGAAAAACTCTCTGACAATTTCTAGCTTTAACTTTTCTCCACCTTCAACTCAATATGTGGCACAAGGCCCTCTGGACATTACCCTTCTGTCATTTCCTCAAATGTGTCACACACAATTTCAGAATAAATTTTTTCATGTTGTAAGCATTAATGCGTGTACATATAAGGAAAAGCCAAAGATGAAAGCATTAAGAAAAGTATTACTATTAGCGATTTTGTAAGGGAGCCCAGACTTAAGAATTGTCTAACTAAAAACATAGCAGATACTTAAGGGAGAAAACCTCACAAGCTTCCCAAGGTTAAATTTAATCTGTTCATAGTAGCAGGAAAAGCAGTCTTCCCTCAAGATTTTCGTATCTGTAAGTGCCATCACATCTGCAGTCCTTGGTACTGCAAAGTCAAGGATAAAACTGTTTTCAGTAGAAGGTTACCTGTTGCAGGAGAGGGCTTAAAGCTTCATTTATTTTGGCAATAAGTATTAGGTTGTTCTTTACCTCAAAATGCTTTTTTCCCCAACTGAGGAATCTGGTGTGCTTAGATCTGCTTAGGTGCAAGATAGCAGTTTTGCTTTTAGTCATACAACAAGAAAAACAGAGATCCATGTTGAGATGTGGATGCTCGTATGTCAACTAAGCTCCCTCACTGAGAGATTCTCTGCTATATATCAGTTTTCCAGCAATGGTAATATATATTCATACCACAGCAAAATCAAATTAATACAACGCAAAGACGTTCAATCAAATCCACGAATGCTACAAAGATCTTGAGTACTTATTAGTCAAATCTTTACATATGCAAATAAACTTAATTGCAAATAACCTCTAATTGCATCAACATATGACTTTCTAATGGTGAAGACAATTTATAGCACGACCTTTCTTACTATTGGTGATGGCTAATTTTATATGTCTTCTTAGTCAGTCACAGGGTACAGGTATTTGGTTAGACATTATTTCCGGCCGTGTCTGAGGGTACTTCCAGTTGAGACGAGCTAACTTAGCTGACTGAGAAAAGCAGACTGCCGCCCTCCCCAGTGTGGGGGTGGGGTGGGCGGCATCACTCAGTCCAGTGAGGCTCTAAAAACGCCAAGGAAGCGAGAATTCTCTGCCTCAGCCTGACTGTTGAGTTGGTATGCTGGTCTTCTGCTCTTGGACTGGGACTTACACCATCGGCACTCCTTCTCTGGCTATGGAACCATGCCTCCATCTTTCATGGCCTCCAGCTTGTAGACAGTGGACTGTGGGACTTCTCAGCCTCCATGATTTCTCACAGTAAATAATTTCTCACATAAATTTTTCTCACATAATAAAAATTTTTCACATAATTTCTCACAGTAAATCTCCCATCCATCCATCTATCCACACACCCACCCACCCATCCATCCATCCATCCATCCATCCATCCATCCATCCATCCATCCATCCATCTTCTTATTGGTTCTGTCTCTCTGGAGAACCCTAACTAACAGGGTATCATAAAAGTCCCATTGTATCATAAGGCATCATTTTAATATAATTTGCTACATTCAAATAGTTTTATGTATTTCAGAAAAGAAAGTATAAAACTTAAAAACCAATGGTTAGCCATTTAAAATGTCGGAGTTTTCATCCAGACATAAACACTCAATGTAAGAGACACATTCTAAATGATCTTAAAACAGTCAGAGCAATCATAGTGTGTGACACCCCATCCCATTTCTCCCTACTAAGCAAATTACCTTTAAAGTCATGTCATCAGAACAGGAGGCCAGGAGATTGCCAGTTGGGTCCCATTTGATAGCATTTACTTCATTCTAAAAATAACAGCAAATATTCACATTTTCATTGTATAGACTGGGTAGCTATTTGAACATTAAACATACATACTTTAAAACTATGTATGTTTTAAAACTATTCTGAAACGTTACTTGTTAACCACGACCACTGTAACGTGGAAAAAAGGTTCCTTACCGTATGTCCTTGGAATGTTTTAATAGGTCTGTCTTGTCCTAATTTACAGACATGAATGCACATATCTGTACTACAAGAAGCAAAGGTGTTGTTGCTCTGCCAATCAACATCCAATGCTGGTGCTGCAAAAGAACAAATGTAAGGTTTGCGTTTATTCCACATGTACTAAAATCCAAGAGTTTTAGCTTTGAACCATTGTTGACTAATAAAATACACTAATAGGCACTTAAACATTTTACTTTATACTTTTTAAGATATTAAGAAAAAATTAAAATAAAGGTATCAATATTTAACAGTATTAACAAATTTCAATTTAGTTATTTCTAGGTGAGGCAGGCCCTAAAAGAAAGTACACTGGCCTAGTAACCGGGAGATGAAGGTCCCTGAGAGCTGGTTCCGTAAATTACTAGCACTGGGTCTTGGGTTCTCTTTTATAAAATGATAAAATTAAACGTGAAGATATCATGCTTTTCATTTCTAAAATCTGTGAGTGCTCAATGGACAAGAAGCCTCGGTTGTGTCACTGCCTAATTAGTGGACACAAGCAAGTCACTTAACCTCTTATGATATATCCTCATCTAGAGTGAGGATTAACACACAAGTTGAGTACCCCAATCTGAATATTCAAAATCCACAATGCTGCAAAATCTCCACCTTTTTGAATGCTAGTATGATGCCACAAGTGGAAAATTCCACACATTAAATACTTAATACAAATTTTACTTCATGCACAGAACTAGTGAAAATACTATATAATGATACCATCTGGCTATAAGGTGTATGTAAAACATAAATTAATTTCATGTTCAGACTTGGGTCCCATCCCCAAGATATTGCCTTATGTATATGCAAATATTCCAAAATCAGAAAAAAAATAAATAAAAAGTGCAACACAATCATGGTCCCAAACACTTAGATAAGGGATACTAAACTTGTACTATCTTTATCCTTAGTACACATGGTGAAGACCAGGTGAGGTAATGTATGTGGAAGTACTTTGTAAATTACAAGAGTCAGACAAGTGTTATACTGAATATGTATCATTCCCATTATTATCTACTCAACTAACAAATGGAATACGGCATATGATTTCCAAATAATTTTCTTCTAAGCAACTTTTGTCAAACACCTGTTAAAAGCAAATGCCCCTTAAAATCAATGAATTTAAAACCTCCAAAGCCCCAAACCAGGCTCGCATTTAATACTTTGCCCGAGTTTAGCTCTGAAATTATTGAACATCCTTTTCCCCTGCTGCAAGGTGCAAAGGATCTCCGTAATTAGCAACACAGATGACGGTAATGATAGTGAGTAACTGGGTTAAGCAACAGAAGTATATCAAAGACACTGCATTTAAAGCAGGGGTTGGCAAACTATGGCACATGAGCCAAGAATGGCTTTTATATTGCAAGGGTGGAGGAGGGGATCAAAGGAAGACATACAAATGTGAAGTAAGATTTAAAAGTTCAGTGTCCATAAATAAGAGTTTTATTGAAACCCAGACAAATGCATTAAGTTGCATATTATCTATGGCTGCTTTTTCACTACAAGGGCAGAGTTGACTAGTGGCAACAGAGATCTTATGGCCTGCAATGTCTAAAATACTTTCAAGTCCTTTAGTGAAAGTTTATCAACCCTAATTTAAAGAAAAAACTAAAGGAGAAAAACAAGAGGGTTAAAGTTGAGCTGTGTGGCCAGGTGTGACTCAGCACTTTGGGAGTGAAGGCAGGAGAATTACCTGAGCCCAGGTGTTTGAGACCAGCCTGGGCAAGAGGGTGGGACCTCATTTCTAAAAAATAAAATAAAATAAAAAATTAAGCAGGTGTAGTGGGTCCATGCCTACAGTCCCAGCTATTGGAAGGCTGAGGCAGGACTGCTTGACCTGAGGAGATCGAGGCTGCAGTGAGCCAGGACTGCACCACTGCACTCCAGCCTGGGCAACTTTGTCTCAAAAAACAAAAAACAAAAAGTTTAGCTATGTATATTAATTAGTAGAAATACAAAGCATTTAATAAAGGAGATTAGAGATGTCTGTGGAAAGGGAAAACAAAGCCACAAACTCTCTCATTGTGTATATCCAAGTATAACAGTAACTGGCTATGTTAAAAATGAAACATAAACAGGTGCTTCAGCAGTTAAACTTATAAGCCAAGAGATATGTCATGCATAAGAACTTGTTAACTACGGATAGGAGAAGTAAAAAGAATGCAAAAAGAAGATTTAAAGCATTTAGAACTCAGAAAGGAAATTTTAATGAGAACTATATGGAGACTTTTTTTAAAAAAAGACAAAGGATAACAGGAAAGAGAAACTGATTTCATTGCCTGGCGAAAGACAAATCAGGTAAGCCCCAAATCTAAAAGTACTATGTACTAAAGAACAAAGAAGCTAATTGTAGTAATATGACCAGACATTAAAATAGTTTTGGGTATATTTCTATAATGAAAAACTAGGTATCAGGACACCACTTGGATTGAGTTAAGTTCATAAAGGAAATAGATTGGAAAGAAAATATTTAATGGGAACTTACTATGGAGGGTATATGAAATTTCGAATAACTATATTTAAAACATTTAACCCTCCCTCAGTCAACTTTTTAACAAACGCAGTGCCATATGAAATTATTAACATGAATTCACCTTTTATACAAAATTTCAAATTATGAGAATTCCCAACAAAGTAAACACAATCAAAAACCACACTTCAGAGCTGTCAGGCTGAGTACGTTGTAAGCTGCACTTTTATACTAGTCATGAAGCAGCACTGCTTTAGCTGGTGTTTGGTTTTCCTGCCCATAAGCCTTTTTGCCTGTGCTGTGTACAATTCCCAGCTGAGTGCTTCACTGCTAAAGGCTGCCAGGGACAAACTTCACAGAACTGCCTTGCTCTGCTGCTGCGTCCTCCCTAGAAGACGTGTATCCAAGCTGGTGTTGTGTACGTTTTGGGGAAGGAGGGAGGGAGGGGAGATCTAAAGACCTAGCATCCTTGGTTTAATGTAAGAAAAACGTGAGGTGCAAGCTCCCCTCTGCACCAGGCTGAGACTGCGCCTTTCTTCACCAGCGATCACTTCCTTCCTTGGCTTCTTCCCACTCCCCCATCCTGCTTCCCATATTTCTTCACTTATTTCTCCTAAGAGGTTTTCCGCAATAAGTCACGTCACTCAAATGTTTGGCACAGGGCCTGCCTTTTGGGAGAACCCAACCTAAATCAACTAGCAAACAAAAATATGTGCCAACTTTATCAGCATGATGTGTGAACTCTGCCTCTGTTTGTGTGTATCACCATTTCTGACAGCAATGTGGATGACTGTCCTGTTCATTTGGCAGTCAACTCTCATTCGTTCCTTTCTGTACTCTGCCCTGCTAGGATGAGAAACCCAGGAGGGCTATTTTAAGTTATTTCCCAGGTTCCTGTGCCTAGTGGTTTCCAAGTGGGTTCATACAATGTAAGACATTGTCAGGAATTCAAAGTGAGGAGTCCAAAGTCAGGAGTAGTAAGACGACAGGCACGATTGCCATCATTTCAGACTGGGTGTTGAGTATTGCCAGGCAGCCTATCCTCTACATCCCAGTCCCTACGGGACAATCACGTCCTGCCTTCTCCTCTAGAGTCTTAGACTTCCTTCAATTAGTCTCTGGGTTACCTCCTATTCCTTAGTTTTTCACTCTTCCCAACACCTTTGCAACTATTTCTTTGTATTAAATTCCCTTTCTTGGAGTGTCTGTTTGGTTTACACTCCATTTTCCTCCATGGAAGCTAATTCAGTAACTACTATGCACTTTCATTTTAACATTAAATGTTATTACTTAAAATACAATTCTAAAAATTTTAGTGTTTCTTTGGTAAATAATCTTTCTATTGTTAACAAGTGCAAAAAATGGGGAAGGGAAGGAAGCCTGAAAAATCTAATTGATTTAGAAGACAGTTAAAGATACACTAAAATGTTATTAAGAAGGCCAAATATCCGTCAGGATGTTCCAGAGGTGTTAATTTTATACAGGGCAGCCTGCAAAATGTTAGAGAGGAGGCTAAAATAAACAACAACAAAAAAACCCAGCATTAAAACAAATAAGCTATTAGGTTCATAAAAAGAAAACAAACAAACAAAAAACAAACTACATAACCAAATCAAGATTGTTGAGATGTAGGAAATGTTGCAACGTAAGCTGTGTGATTAATGCTTCTGTGATATGCCTGCCTCATAAAATACAGTGCTTACAGATTGATATAATCAAAGAACACATACCTCTTTATTTTATATTTATTCCTAAAATGAGTCTTGATAGTACAAGCTTTTTAGAAAGAAAGTTCTAACATTTAAAAAAAAAAATTTTATGTACCTGACAAGTGAGACAGGTGTGTTCACTAACAGCGGTCTCATTTTACACGTTAAGAGGCTAAGAAAACTTAATTTTCCCAATTATACAATGTTTTAAAATCTTGGAGCTAAAGTTAAAATTTTTGTCTAATCCACCCCTGTTCTGATTTACTTTCATTAACCCATGTAGCCTCCGTAATTTTAAAAGAGAAGGAATAAACCTATGAGCGAAGAAGGATGCATTTATTACTGACTTCATTTTTAAAAAGCTTTATTGACATATAATTCACATACCAATTCACCTGTTTAAAGTATACAATTCAATGGATTTTAATATATTATTAATTCATAAAATCTGCAGTCAAATATAAAACTTTCTAACTTAATTTTGATTTCTTCTTTGGCCCATGAGTTATTTAAAAGTGTGGGTTCCTGGGTATTTGGGCTCTTCCAGAGATGTTTCTAATACTGATTTCTAATTTAATTTCATTGTTGTTATAAATGTCATTTAGTTGGTCAAGTTACTAGATAATCTTCAAATCGTTTACAGACTTAATTCCTTCTTCCTGTCTTCTCATTCCATCAATTATTGAGAGAAGAATATTGAAATATTCAACACTAATTGGAAGCCCCGTAATTTCTATTTCCTTTGAAGCTCCATCATTTTTTGCTTCATACATTTTGAAAGTGTTATTAAATGCATTGTCATTTTAAAATGTTTTGAATTGACTGTTTAACATTGTATTAATAACCTCCTTTTTCCCTGTAATTCTTCTGAGCTTTGAAATCTAGTTTGTCTATTAACGTAGCCATTTCAGCTGTCTCTTGATTAGTGATGGCATGGTATACATTTTCACATCATTTTATTTTCAGTCTATTGATGTTTTTCTATTTGAAGTCTATTTTACATAGGCAGCATATAGTTGAGTCTTGCTTGCTGATTTAATCTCACAATCTCTGCCTTTTAATATTTAGGCCATTTACACTTAATTTGCTTTGTCATAAGGTTACATTTAAATTTACTGTATTTCTGTTTATCTCTTCCGTTCTTCCTCTTTTTGTATTTCTACCTCCATCTGGATTAATTGGATATTTTTTATGATAACATTTTCTTCTCCTTTGGTGGGTTCTTACCTGTAATTCTTTATTTTTAGTGGTGGTTTCAGGATTTACAGTGCACACCTTTAACTGGTCACCATCTACCTTGAGGTGATATTTTAAATGGGCTAAATATTTCATTTTATTTTCTGCCCCTCTTCCCTACCTTTTTACCTAAGATTCTGACTACTTAGGTATTAGTCTGTCCAAAGTTGTATCACAACTCATTGATGCTCTGTCCCCACCCTCTTTTCCAGTCTATGTTCTCTGTTTTTGGATAGATTCTATGCAGCCTCCAAGGTCGTAAATCATTTCTTCTGCAGCATCAAATCTGTGGCTTATCCTATCGGGGCATTTTTCATCTCACATGTTGTTTTTGCCTCTAGAAGTTTAATGACATCTTCTCTGTCTCTACTTAGCTTTTTGAACATATGATACAATTAATCTTTGAATAATGTGAGGGTTAGGAGCACCAGCCCCCTGTGCAATTGGAAATCTGCATATAGCTTTTTGAATCCCCAAAATCTTACCAACTAATAGCCAGCTGTTGATTAGATGCCTTACTGATAATATAAACAGTTGAATAAGATATATTTTGTATATTGCAGGAATTAAAAATTATGCAGAATGAATGAAGACAGACCAAAAAAGAGTATGTACTTTATGATTCCAATCATATAATGTAATCTAATCTCTGGGGATGGGAGAGAGGTATTACTAAGGGACAACAAGAAATGTCTGAAGGTTAACAGATATATTCATCATCCTGAGTGTGGTAGTAGTTTCAATGGTGTATACATAGGTCAAAATACATCAAATTGTTCAAGTAAAATATATACAGTTCATTTTATGTCAACTGTGCCTCAATAAAACTGTTTTTAAAAACAAAAGTATGGTAAGAAAGAATACGATGGGTAAACTGAAGCTTATTTATTCATAAAAATACTTTCATACTATGTACCTCATCAGGTTGTAGTCAGGACTAAAGGGGACAGAAAGAGCATCATCTCCAACACAAAGTTGGTACTAATCATATGGTACCCAGCAACAGTACCATAAACATACTTCAACTTTACATTACTCCTAGGATGTATGAGAAATTTTTATGATTAACAGCCAGAAGCCTGACAGAATTCTGAAAACTAGAAGCAAAGGTGAAAAGGAAGTACAACAGGTGAACAAAAATGTGTGTAAATGCTTATTCGAGTGGTGAGCGTTCATCAAGTGGAATTGTTTAACGATGTTTGCAAACTTATTCAGATACTACAGAAAAATCATTTTGCACCTTATTTTGCTTGTTTAGGCACACTAAACAAAGAATGAAAAAAAGCAAAATGCCTGAAGTTGCAAATTTCCAGTTTAAAGTTGATGCTGTGCCACTGGCTGTTTGTAAAAGGATGTCATCAAAGATTTGAGAAGAACCAGGGTTATTATTTTAGTCAGTCTCCAAATTAAAATTTTTTCCAGCACAACAAAATCAGAGAGACAGCTAAATCAGGTAATACTAAAACCACTGGGTATCTTGTTCCAGCTTAACATCATTTAGTTCCTGCAGTCAGGAAACTCACTGAAAAGTGGTGCAAAGGTTCTAGACTGAAATGGAGCGCAGGCACAAAAATATGCCTGGCTCTCTACTCAAGCTGAATGTCTGGGTGTGTGGCTGTATATTATGCAGGACGGAGCACTATTTTCGAGGTCGGATTAATCAGATAAAAGTACCAGACTGAGTATTTTTTTTTTTTTTTTTTTTTTTTGAGACGGAGTCTCGCTCTGTCGCCCAGGCTGGAGTGCAGTGGTGCAATCTCGGCTCACTGCAAGCTCCGCCTCCCGGGTTCACGCCATTCTCCTGCCTCAGCCTCCCGAGTAGCTGGGACTACAGGCGCCCGCCCCTGCGCCCGGCTAATTTTTTCTATTTTTAGTAGAGACGGGGTTTCACCATGGTCTCGATCTCCTGACCTTGTGATCCGCCCACCTCGGCCTCCCAAAGTGCTGGGATTACAGGCGTGAGTATTTCTTAAAAGAGAAATCCATCTAAGCCACCAACATTCCAATAACATTGGGAAAGTCTATTGTTCACTTCAGGTAGACAGATGCTCAGGTACCTCGATCCAAAATGAGAAAATGACAATACCTAAACCTACAGGAGTCTATGCAGTATTTTCATGTATATCATTTAGTCTTATCCCCATAACAAATAGGCATTATTATTATTATTGTTATCCCTCATTCACAGATAGTGAAAAGGAGGCTCAGAAAGGTTAAGTGACTCTCAGTCTTAATGCTTCTTAAGTGGAGTGGAACTGACATTCAAACTTAGATTTTCTGATTCAAAAATCTATGTTCTTTCCATTAAATAATGCCACCCCTAATTGCACCAGGCTGCAAATGCTTTATTTATGGTGCATTTCACAGAAAACGTTTCATGATCCTCTGACAATTAAGAGTCTGAATGTCATGGAACATCAACTCTCGAAAGGACTAGTAACAAGACTGATACTTGATATTTCAACATTTAAAATAAATTATATGCTGTTAGAAGTTTTGTTAGAAAAACAGAAGCAAGCTCCAGCTTTCACGTAAATTATAAGAAATTTACCTGAATGAAAAGGAAACTGTTGCTTGGCTTCACCAGTATGTGCATCCCAAATGATTGTAGTCTGAGAGTAAAAGGAAAAGAAAAATAAACTCATGCAAAGAAGTTTATCATAGATGCGTAAATTATATGCCTAACTGTATTAAAGCAATATGCAATGTCAGAGTGGATTTAATTTTAAACACTTTATCCCAAAATAGTACCACAAGGCTATACTCCACTTTCGGAGCAAATGACTATTAAGTAGTTTGGTTTTTCCCTGTTGATTCTGCTCGGTCAACTTACTTCAAATAACAATTATTGGCAATCTACAAAGCGTGAGGCATTGTATTAGATTTTGCTTTAAAAACTCCATTGCAATAGTACATTAAAGTAAGATTCGTATAGATGTTTACTAAGAGAGGAAGTTTTTGGTTAACAATGCAATCAGTTCTCAATATTGAAAAATTTTAAAGGCTCATATTTACACAAAAAGGCAGCTTTGAATTTTGGCAATACTTAAAGCAAGAACCTCAAGTATTGTATAGTGGCAGTGACTATCAACAGGACTCAATCTCTCTCCTTCCCAGCCTACTTCACTTTTCTTCCCCTTTTGCCACTTTTTTTATTGCTCTCTGAATATAAAGAGTGAACCAGTTTCTCTTCATTTCCCTGTTTTGACACCACACTCAATTACTATCATGTCCCTTCCTGGATTAAGATAATCTTAAACCCTTATTTAGGAGGAAGAAGGTCGTATTTCCAATTCATCTATATTCACCAGCCAAGTTAGATGAAGACTAGACAGATCCTGCATTTCATATTAGCTTCACTTAAGTACCAGGAGTTGGCTAACAGACCAGCTCTAGAATTTCCCATGGATTCACTCCAGAGCCATGTTCACTGGTGAGACTAACTAGAAACCGCAGAAGGGAAGCAAAAAGTGCAGGAGGTATGACATTGGTTATGGCTCAAATTCCAGCTAAAATTAAAAGTGTTCACACAGATAAAAGGATAAAAACATTTTGATAAGTAGATTCAGGAAAGAGCTGATAGACCTAAGAAAGTATTTCTATCATAAATTCATATTTGAATTTCCCAAATAGGAATGTTTATGTGATTGGCAGCTAAGACAAAACACTGCTTTCAATTAAACCCTGTAATACATTCACCTTTACAGAACTTAATGAGCTTTTACCTTGTCTACTCCAGCACTTAGGATGAAATTTCCTTTCTTATTCCATTTTAATGCAAATATAGGGCCTTTATGCTGCCCTAAGGTGCTAGCAAGGTTACCTAAAATTCAAAAGAAAAACAGTAACATTACTTTAAATTTTCTAACTTCAGATCAACAACAAAATAAAAAGGAAAATGCTTCATTTACCATCTTTAGTCCATATTCTGGCAAACCCATCATAGGAACCAGTTGCTAGAAGTGTACCTTCACTCTGCCAGAGAAAAACATTTCTTTAATTATATAATCTAGATACGGTTTATAATTTAATTGTTGTTGAAGTATTTCATATTTAAATCCCAGGTACAGAAGAGAATGAAGACATTCTCTGCTTCAAAACTTGCCAGTTTTGCCTACTTGTGAGTGCCACTAAAGGCCTATGAAACCCTTTCACTGTTGTGAAGCTAGTGTTGTACGGGGGCCTTATATCCAAAGCTCAACAACGGACAGTAATAGCTCTGGACCAGGATCTACATCATCCCGCCTCATGCGTGCCCAAAGTAGTCTCACAGACTCACACAACTAAGAATGAAGGTAGGGTGGTGGATTGGGGCGAACATCAAATTCATAATCTTAGAATGATTTATTAGAAGTAAAAAAAGGAAAACTTTAAAATGTGATTAGAAGGTTTTATATGGCCATTCCTCTAAATCCTTTACTGTCTAAAACAAAGTGTGTGTGTATGATCCAAACAATATCATTGTTTCAAATGATCGGATTCTTAAACATTTGAATGTTCCTTTCTATTATTAATCCCTTCCCACTATGAAATATTTGCCAATAAAAAGAGCAACACAAGCAAAAGAGCCAGAAAAGAGCACAGGCTGACTTCATAGTTAATGAAGTAAGTATAACTGCCTACTTTACCGGAGGAAAAGTCCATATAAATTTCTCTCAACTTATATTCCCTTGCTATGCGCCTTGCCTGGATGAATGGTGTAATAACAGGACAGATCTAACTAACTCTATGCAAACGCAAAAGTTACAGATTATAGTAAACAGACTATTGCTAGAATGACTAAACATTACTGGAGAATGAAATCCTGCATTACTTGACATATTCTTGATGGGTTTTGGTAAGGGCATTCAAAACAAGATCACCTATTTCACATCTCTCAAGCCATTTTAGGAGTATGGCTAAGTGACAAACAAAAACAAATGCTGGTTCTGGGAACTGCAGACTCAGTTCTGCTAAGACATGGCAATCCCTTAGGGCTCTATCTGAAGAAGAAGGGGAGCCATGTTGAAGTCAACAGTAAAAGCTTATTTCCAGATTCTACACAATGTTAAGTTTCCTCTAAACTATCAGTCCCTAAATGTTTTAGTTCATGAACTGCTCAACTAGGAAAAGAATACTTTAAAGATGAGAAATCTCACAGGCTCTCTTGCTTTAGCCATGAAAAAGAATCATTAATCGAGGATGATGTTTTCCAAGCTTACCGTGATTAACACATTTTCAAAAAGCCCACACTTTTCAAAACTATAAAATGCAGTTCAGAACTACCAAGCTGAACAAACCAATATTCATTCATTAACCATCCTTTTCAGTGTAAACTGTAAATTTCATTAAATTAACATGACCAGTGGGCCAGGTAGCATAAGAAAGCTATAAGATGTCTGAACTAAGATACAATAAGGGCCTATATTAAGAAAATAATTCTATCTTGATCCTACAAGTAAATAATACTACAATGTGCTAAACCCCTTTGGAATTTTTAGAATTGTCATACGGAGGGGAAGAGTAAACATGCTGCTGGCAATTTTGGAAGAAAATGCTAAAAATACCCAGTTATGATTTCTGAAAAAACATGTCACAGAAACTGAGAACTTTAGCGGGAATAACGATTTTAAAGATAGATCTCATTCCTTGGGAAAAGAATTAGAAGATCCTTTAGAAAGCCCACAAAAGTTGTTAAATAGAAGAGAAAAGAACATTCATTTGCTGAGGAAGAACTACTATCGTGAGATATTCTTTGCAATGCTGAAATATATCTAAGAGGTTTGGGGGCGTGGCGGGGGCTAGCAGGGTGAGGTAAGAGATATTATTTACAACTAAACGATGACAATTTATCAACAATGAAGTGAAAGGTTTTTGTAAGTCAGAGTAGTCAAGTTGTCCTGAAAGATGTTGAATCATACATAGAATCAGAGAATTAGAAGATTCCTACAGTGGGAATAAAATTTAGACATTATCTAGACTAATGATCCCTAAAAGGAAATTGGTAATAAAGTTGTAACAGTTCACAGAACAAAGAGAAAAACAAGAACATGTTTTCTGCTACATAGAATTCTTTTATCCCCCAACTAAGAACTCGGTTGTTACGGATTTAGTATGTTGTTTGTTATTATGGTAAGAATTTTCGCCTATTATCTCAAATATTTAGGTACCATTTTCACAGATCTACTTGACATTTAAGGAAAACGAAGTACAGAGTAAACAGTAACAATTTAACCAAGGAGATGCTGCGGGATACACTAAAGAGCTGGACATTGTACCCTGGTCTAAGGCAAGTTTGTGTCTTTAACACCACAGTGGAGGAGAGGGCTGGCAGGTGACGACTCCCAGTCTGTTGTTACTAGTTAATAAAACCCCAAATTCTGAACAAATAGACAAACCGTGCCATGAGTCTGAGGCTCTGAGGGTTAGGTATACTAGTAATTATATCCATCATGGATATAGTGATACTCACATTCCAATCTAGAGATGTGACATCCTTGTTGCTTGGAACATCTTGCCCTCCTTCTCGTATACAATGTCTAAGTACTAACTGTGTAGAGCCACTGGTGCTGTTCTCACTAAGATTCCATATTCTTGCTGTTGAGTCTCCAGACCTATAAAAGTATGCAATGTATTTTAAATCCTCATGACATTCTCAACTATCAGAATCAAGGCAACATATTTACATCTGAATATTAATAAGGCAAATAAAAACTAAACTATCACAGATTTTCATTTCCAGTATTTTTCCCATTCTACACATTGGGACCCCCAAGCGTTCTCGAAACAGTAAGTTTAATTAAAAATTCTACAATTACTTCATGAAGGAATAAAACATTTACAGAGACAAAATGGCCACAAATAAGCAACAACAGAAAACCTGAATAATGCATATGTTTATAAAATGCTCAGTAAGATATTTGTAAAAGCCATTTTAGTATCACTTTGAGAAACACACCCTGATGCTAGGAGATCACTAACAGGGTTCCAGGCACAGATGAAAACTTCAGATTCATGGCCCCGCAACACAACTGCTTTATTAGGAGGGATTTCAACATCCCCATCCACTTCCATCATATCAGTATGATTATCTGCATCGTGAAAAACAAGTAAGCAATTCCAGTTAGGCAGTATTACAATATGGCGGATGGGTGAATTCTTAACTAGCAAATACCTTCCTTTATCACATACAGGGTTAACATTATCAAGTTAAGCTGAACATGACTACACAGTCTTAGTCACATAGAAAATAAATTGGTACCTTTAATTAAGTATTGACCATACTTTTTTTTTAAGAGGGATGGGGGTGGGGGTGGGATGCAGACTTTAAATGATTAGACCTAAACATGGATAAAACGATAAAATGGTTTGAACTAAACATAATGTCTACCAGTACTATTCTGAGTTTCTGCCAGTAGGGGTTGCTGATATCATTCATATAACATGACTTGCCTTTTATCTCAATGTCAGAGCGCTATGGTATTTGTTGATAACTAGTATTACAATTTCATTTAGAAATCAAATGTAGATACAAAAATTCATTTAATGATGGGAAAAGGGCTTCTAGATATTTTAAAAAGAAAATAAAAGTAAATCTAGCTTTTTGGAGCTTCAGGAATAAAAATCTGATCTGTGTGATACAAGTTAAGAAAACAAGTTGGTGCAAATAACAGATGGAATTATTTCGGCATAGAAGATGGGACATTCTGTTAAAGCAAATATATTTCCTCTGAGAATAAATTTTTAAAAATTCTTATCTCCTGGGACCTTCCTGGGGGATGGAGGGTGGAAGAGGAGGATCAGAAAAAATAACTATTGGGCACTAGGCTTAGTACCTGGGTGATGAAATAGTCTGTACAACAAACCCCTGTGACATGAGTTCCTCTATTTAACAAATCTGCACATGTACCCCGAATTAAAAGTTTAAAAAATAAACCACGTAATTAAAAAAAAAAATTCTTGTCTGAGCTCACTTGCTATAGTATGTGCTCCATTCTCTTCCCCATTTGCTGTGTTTTCTCCATTTTTTGCAGATCCTTGTTGGCTGGCTGCAGCTGCGGCAGCTGCAGCAGCTGCTGCCTGTTGCTGTGCAAGCTTATCTCTATAAGCTTGTTGTCTTGTTTGTACTACATCAGGCATTACGGCATCTATCAGGGACAGAGACTCTATTGGTCGACCATCAAACAAGGTACCATCCTGGATTTGGAAAATTGTGAGAGAAGAAAAATCAAAGGCAATATTTAAAGTTATTTGTATTTATACAAAATCAGAAATGAAATGAAAATCTTCATTCCTAGAAAAACATTTTGGGGAACTTTCTGAATTCATATAAGAAGTCCCGACGGAATAAAGAAACTACAAGCAGCAACTGGAAATGACTGCTTAAATTTTCCTTTTTATTTAGTTCACACTATTATTACAGTATAGAGCTGTACAGATAGAGCTGAAAGATGCAGGCCGAGCTGATAAAAAGGTTTATTAATTAGATTCTGAAATTCTGTTAGTCAAAGCAACAAACAATATGGAATAGGTCATAGAATGATCAAAGGCCTGGTGCCCCATTATAGTAAATACCTCTTTTAAAAAACTAAAAACTTTGAGTTAAAAAGTTTCTTGTGATTTGATTCAAATATTAAAGCAGAAATAGACTTCATGAGCTATAGTGCTCTTGAATATTAGGGAGTTGTTGAAATTTCCAAAGCTCCACTTATTGATATTAGGAAGTTCCTAATAAAGAGTTCTCCAAGTAAGCACAAGAAGAGACACAAACACAGAGCAAGTCAGAAACACAAAGAGTACAAATTAGCTGGGAGCATGCATTTGTGAAGTCTCGTTCACTTAAACTGGTAAACGCGCACCAGTGACAATCTACAGTGTCATGGTAGGGTAATGTGAGCTGCAAAAACACTGCACGTTTTTGCAGTGTTTCTGAACTGCAATTGTAACACAGTATTTGAGGAACGGGAGAAAGTATTTTAACTTACAGATAATTTTATAAAGATACTAAACCCAACACAGATACACTGTGGAATAAGCGCTATGTCAAATTTACACACGTTGTAAGAAAAAATTTAGTTTTGTGTTAGTGGATTTTCACTCAAAGAGCTGAGGAAACAAAAAAATCCATTTTAGTATATTATGTAATTTCTAACTCTAGTAATAATCATTGATACAGAAATCATGGATACTTCAGTTTAAAAAATACTCGCAAAAGTGGAACATGTTAATCTCTGAAATAAAAGTAATGGGAAAAGCTCCACACTATACACAAAAATTTTAAACTAGGCTGGGCATGGTGGATCACGTCTGTAATCCGCATTTTGGGAGGCCGAGGTGGGCAGATTACCTGAGGTCAGGAGTCAAGACCAGCCTGGACAACATGGGGAAACCCCGTCTCTACAGAAATACAAAAATTAGCTGGGCGTGGTGATGGGTGCCTGTAATCCCAGCTGCTCAGGAGGCTGAGGCAGGAGAATAGCTTGAACCCAAGAGGCGGAGGCTGCAGGGAGCCGAGATCGCACCACTGCACTCCAGCCTGGGCAACAGAGCAAGACTCCGTCACACACCCAAAACAAAACCAAAACCAAAAACAACATTTTAAACTAGACCGGGGGTATAGTTTACAACCTTTTCCTGTAAAAGAGTAGACAGTAAATATTAATTTAGGCTTTGCAGGCCATAAGGTCTCTGTCGCAACCACTATTCTGCCAAAAGTAGCCAAAGACAATATGTAAATGAGTGTGGCTGTGTTCCAATCAAATTTTATTTACTAAAACAGAGAGCAGCATTTGGCTAATGGGCCACAGTATGCTGACACCTAAGCCAAACAAACTACTCACATGTAGTCCTTAGATCGGCAGTACCATCCAGAGTTGGCTTCAACTATAAACTGGTTTAAATTAGGGTGTATTCAAATAATGTGAGAATTTACAATTTTCAGGCCAATAATTATGATCTTAGCATTCCACAGCACAATGCTGTTAATAAAAATTATTTCTTAGTGTTTACTTATAAAAACAGATGAAGGCAAACAAACTACTAGGCGCCAACACCTTGCCGGTGCAACCTGACTACTACATTAGGGATGAACTGTCTGCACTTTTGTTACCCCTGTGAAGCTAAAGTCAGAATACTGAATAAGCAAGCAAGACAGCTGACTTAACGGCACATTTAAGAGTAAAAATTAGTACTTGAAGTAAGTCTTCCTTACCTCATTAATACTAACTTCTGCTTCTACATACTGTAGACCTTTCTGGATGATAGAAATCAATGCAGCAGGTGGGACGAGGGCACCATTTATATTGGACTGACTGATATGGCTTTCTATACCAAAGGTAAATGCTGAATGAGAAAATCCTAAAAACAAAAGAAAAGGCATGAGAATTTATTTTCCTAGTGGCAACATGCTAAATGACACACAAAAAAGATCACTATAATCTTACGAAATCCCATTCTACCCATTTAAAATCCCAGACCAGTATGCTAAGGTCGTGTGTGTGTGTGTGTGTGTGTGTGTGTGCGCGCGCGCGCGCAAACATGTCAGCCTTTACATATTTTTTCTCTTAATTACTTAATGCACTCTTTAAAATTTCTAGTAAATACTTGATTATATAGCTTCAAATTTTCTAAAATGTAGTCATAGTACACAACTTTTCTTAACAAAAAGCGTCAAACTTAAAAGGTAAAACAAGTCTTTGGAAATCATGTAATTCAACTGTTTCACTTAAGATAAATCAGGCCAAGATAGATTGTTACATTTAATATTTCTGTAGTATATTTTAATATTTTTTACATCTAGAATTAAGGAACTTTATTTCAAATTTTCTTCCATCCCAGTTCAAGTATTCAGCATTTCTCAAAAATAGTACACATAATATGCTTTAAATAGGAATTCATTCATTCTGAATGATCTTCATTTACTTCATGTAATTGTTAACTACTATGTAGTTATAATTCAATAATGTCTTTAAAGCAATCTAGCACTCAGGTAAAATCTGAAGTATTTAAATTTCTACATATAAACTGTCAAACATCTGATAAATTCAGTATTTTGGAGCTCTTTGAAACTACTTAGGAAAACTAATAAAAACTAATTAAAAATAAATTTAAATAGTAAAAAATCATAATGGTTAAATACCATTTTATGTATGAATTAAGTGCTTTAAAAAATACCAATTCTTTGCCACTTAGTAATAACTCATCTATATGAAATAGTTAAGAAATGAACAGCTAGCAAATGAATATCTGGTTTATAGGTCTCCATTAGCAATTACTTAGTTTTAACTTGAAATACTTCAAACCAAAGCACTTACTTAATAAAAATCTCTTTATGCTGGCCTTGCTTTTTGTGCATATCTAGTCAAAATTCAAAGGTAAAATTCTAATAAGCTGATAAACCAAGGATGGTTATTTAGTGAAATTATAACCACGATTTATCATTAAAGTAGTAATTTTTATAAAGTATATTAAACAATTCAATTAAATTGTACATGTAATACAGAATATTAATAAACACTTAAATAAAGGAAATAAATATGGGCTTATTTTGGGTCTTGGTTAAACTGATTTAATCTATATAGTATCTCTGTTGGCTAGACTGTCTAGTTTTTCAGTGTTTAGTACATGTCTTTTTTGGATTTTGTGCTTCCACTCTTATATTCCTTGTGGTACTGATAAACAGTCTAGTATAAAATACTGTGGGCTCACAAACAGCATGTGGCTAGGAAAATTTGGTTATTTGATAGTCAAAGTACACCTAAGTTGATTTTCCTTATAACCCCCACCTTCCCTCTTTGGAACACCTAACCCATTATGTTTACAACATCTAACCCACAGTGGAAAAGGTAAGTGGAAAAATGTTCCCTCTAAGACCTTGATTTTAGCCCCTGATTTTGCCCATAGGCAAGATCATAATTAAATGCATTTATAATTTTCACCTTAATCTGAACACCGAGATAGCTAAGAAAGATACCAATGGGGCGGGGGGTGGAGAAGCACCGTTTTGATTTGTCCCTATCAAGAAACCCACAACTACCCGAATATGAGTAGATTTCAGATCACCAAGATAGAAAACAGAATAAGGATGAGGGAGGATGGGGAGAAACAATGAGAGACACAGCAGTAAAATCCTTAAGCAGTGAGGTTGGAGATTCCTGTTTTCAATTATATACCCCCTCCCTGAATAAATTCACAGTAAATCATCCATAGTAAAAACAGCTAAACAGCCAAGCACCTTAAGAGATTTAAGAAAACTTTGAGACAGAAGACATCATTTATGGAGGGCCTATACCATACGCTAGATACTGTGCACAAACATGTAAGTTTATTATTTTATAATCTAATGGAAAAACACAACTAATAAACGAGAAAGTACAGATTCAAATTCATTCAGAGACTCTACTACTCCTCTTGAACAGTTAAAATATGGTCAAGGATAAAGCTAAGGGAGAGAGTGAGCTCCTGTTTCCTGACAGAAAGTAAAAGACGACTTTTGTTTTCAACTCAGGGTCCTGGAAAGTGGTTACACAGTGCATGAAACAATGAGCCATCTTACTGCCATATTTACTGCCAAGGTTTTCAAAGTGTCTTGACTTATGTAATGCTTATAAATTTGTTTGAAGTACATGATTTCTGTACACTTTATTCATGGCTGCAATTTAAATAGTCAAAATTGTTCAATTTAGACTCTATTTAATTAGCTTATAGAGTTTAAGTTTAAAGTAATAATACGTCCAAGAATAGCCTAAGAGTTGCAGGTGGAACTGTGCCAATTTCTGGCTGGAATGTTGCAGATATCTTGAATTTGTTCTGTCAGACCAGGAGAAAAACTATCACAGGTGCTTACATGCATCTCAAGGTACTGCAGATGTACTTACGGTGCTCTCAAATAGCAACAAAACATCCCTGAAGTAGTCATTAGCATTGTTTTGGCACTTCTCATTAATGTTTACCCTAGAGAAGTTCCACACTTAAACGCTCTGCTTAAATGTTATTTTCAACTAGAATATTTTATTTATTTCTAGCCATGGCATTACATAGCAGTTTAAAATTATGATGTTTGAAATTACTTTTCTTCTTCCCCTCCCTAAAACTACTTTTCCTTAGAAACCTCCGATCTCATTTCACTACACCTGAAAGTCATAGTCATTCCTAACTCCCTGTTCTTTCTCGGTCCCTGGCATTTGACAATTTACCAAATCCTACCATCCTACTCCAAATCCTACCACTCTACCATCTGTATATGCTCATCACCTTACCTTTTCTGCTAGATCTGTGTTTAGTCCCCATTACACTTTGCTATATACATTTCTTTCCCCTCCTCCTCAATTCAGTACATATGCCAAGCTACAGCTAGACTATTACTTGTAAAACAAAAAACTGGTCATATCACTTCTTGCTTGAGAATTTTCAATGATTCCCTTGGCCTTGATAATAAAGGTCAAACGCCTAACTATTGCACACAGTTGTTTTTGTAATCTGGCTCTTCTGTTTCTCCAGTCTCATCTCAATACTACACACCCCCCAGTCTCACTCCCATTACACCATAAATTCAAGTGGTGGCAAATAGATATAATTTGAATATGCTGTGTTATATATCACGCCTCTGAGCCTTATATGCTCCTTTGCCCTTTCTCCTATCGAATGGAAGTGAAATCCTCTTTCACTATACCAGGGCTAATCAGTCTCTCCTATGCTGATCCTAAAATTTCTTTACGTGTGGCACTTACCACACTGGTTATCACCTCTGTGGCTATGGTTGTTTGCCTTTGTGTGACTACTAGACTGGGATCCTGATAAAAGGGTTTATGTCTAGTAATCCTTTAATTCTGGGAAACTAGCACATTACCTGAGTCAACAAGTACTCAATAAACATTTTTTAAATTAGAATGCAATTATACTATAATGTATTTTGGCACATCAAAAAAAATCTGTGACTCCAGAAAAAGCATATGACTTAAGTCTTCCTTGGAAAAATCTAAAACTTGAACTAGTTTCGTGCCAGAAGCTATTTCCATTTATCTGTAAATATACATGCAGAAAAGGCTTTTTCCAGGGACAGCTTTTGATTTATATAATAGGAGGCAAAAGAGACCACCTAAATCTGTTAAATGTTAGAATCCGGCATGACCATCTAAAATAGCATCCCTTCTTTCCAAGGGTAAGAGCAAATCTGATAGTGCCTCTGTAATCAAGTACTCTAAACACTGACTAGGGTATTGAGATTTAGGGAGTAAAAGAGAGACTCCAGAAAGAAATAAGGCTGAAACACATGAAGTATATAGTCATTCAGTGACAGAGACAAGCAACGGCAGCTGGTAGGGAGTGGGGTGGCACGCATGAGATCACAAAACAGCCATTTTCTATAGATTGTTTGTTTCAGGAAGTGCTTTCTGCAAGAATGTTAGGGACTGTGTTCTCAAAGGAAAGTTAGTCGTATAGAGCCTGCCAACTCTACCTTGCAAATAGGCAATACAAGAATAAGGAAATGGACCCTGAACACCAAGGTTATGGTACAGGATGACTAGATGAGACAAACTGGTGAAAAAGGCAAAGCTTAAATATGACCACAACATACTGCATCTGAAATGAACATCTGATTGATCTAAGGTCCTATTTAAGCTTCAAGTCAGAAAAACCTAGCAAAATTATACTCATGTTCTCATCATCCAATGCTTCCTTGACTCCAACTCTGCCCTACAGATCCAGATATTAGAAAAGGTAAACAGGATGGGGAAAAAAATGACACAGGGGATCTTTGTCATTGAAGAGCTAGACCTAGTACTTATACACTAGCCATACAATTTCATGCCCTAATTTTGCCCTTAAAAATACATGTAACTATGAACATTTTAAATAAATAATACTTTCTGAAATAATTTAAATAGCATCGTAATACTCAGCCAGTAAATTATTCATGTCATAGCTGTACCTTTGAACTTTTCCAATGATCACTATTTTAAAAGAATCTTACCTCAAATATCTATATGTATAGGCTTTTGCCATGTACAGTGTGTTTTTTTTTTCTCTCTCTCTCCTTAGGATGGATTCCCTCAAACGCTGAAGGGGATATAAGCATTTTAAAGAAGGTTTTCATCACTGCCAAATTGCTTTCCAAAAAAATTATACAAATTAATAATGCCAAAAGCAATTTACATGTTTCCTTATACTCTCGCTATGCTGGCTAGTCCTAAAAAACAAACAAAAAAATGCTAATTAACATTGAACAAATTCTCTGTTTGACAACTATTAAAGGGCCATTGTCCTTTGATAGGTGTGTTAGCAGGACTGTGTAATATGAATTTCCTGCGTCAGCAAAAAATGGTAATTCAGCTTACAAAAAGAGGAGAAAAACTTAT